GTCCTGGGCCTCCCCTAGGTCGACTCAGACTCGAATGAGTCCACCTGGTGCGGTGCGTAAAAACATCGGCACTGGGGAGACAAAGGCGGCTGGGCGTGGTGCTGGCCACCCAACCCCCTCGTCTGCAAGTTCTGGCCCTCATAGGTGCTCGCTAACAGCACTTGCCCCAACAGCCTGTTGGGGCTACACGGGGTACATTTGTCTTTGTCTCACCTTGGCTGTTGCTGTGCGCGCTCGTTCGTGCGTTTGGTGCTTGGGGCATCTTCGTCTCGTCGGCTGAGGCTGGTCCGGGGGAGGCCCCGTTGACAATGCCAAGAAGCGAGGAGCGCGGCTGCCTCCCTGTGGTGAGCCATCGGAAGCATTGGGGAGAGTCGAAGTGAGGACAACCACCACCACCACCACCTACCGGGTGGCGAATGTTCTTCGCGAAGTCGCGATGTTTGTGGAATATTAAACTCAAGTCACAGGGTGAACCCTCGAAGCAATGTTACACCCGGACCAAATGTGCACGACCATTGCGGTGTTTGTAACCACGTGCAAACGCTTACGCGCGCATCTCTCAATGCGGCCTTTTAAAGGATTGACGTCATAGAGAAGGGGGGGAGGGCGGTACCTCTTTTCCAAGACGTATTGACCATTGTGGAAGAGAAGGCCAATTACATTTTTTCTAGAGTCTAGAAAAAAAACTAGTTAAGTATTCTTCACTAGTTTTCGCGGGGGGGGGGGGGGTGGGGGGGTGCACGTTGGCAGATCAAATATCGTCAGTGTGAAGGCCGTGACACATTTGACATCATAGCCGCGTTTGACAGCAGCACGAGGATGTGGAGTGTTTTCACTTTTCTGTATTGTGGCCCCGCGGGCCCTTGCAATGAAGATCACTGGTCTCGAGAGACTCGCGAGGGTCCTTCCGCCAGGAGTGGCGTGAGCAATTGCAGGGCTGCACCTTTACCTGTCGACGAGGGAGAGTTTTGTCTTAGGGATTCGTTGCATTCCTCATCTTCATGCAATTGGGGAGGCGTTGCTGTGTCACCCACTCGCAGTGGTCACATACGAGATGGCCTTTCCGCTCGCTGTTAAAATATTGCTGGCCACGAGGCCAAGAGGGTTTTAGTGGGTACCACTTGGGGTGGCAACTACTAGCAGTGTCCACCACGGGCAGTGTCCACCACGGGCAATGTCCATTATGGGAAATCTCCACCATGGGCAATCTCTACCATCGGCAGTGTCCACCACGGGCAGTATCCACCGCAGCGGTCTGCACCATGGGCAGTGTTCAACATGGGTAGAATCTGTTATTTTTTAAACACCCTGATTATTTTCATATTCCTTAGACGTTTTATATCACGTATTTTGTTTTCGATATTTTCCGTACAACAAACTACGGTTACCCCTGTTTAGCAACCCTTTTCTCATAATAAAGCTACAAACTTGGGCTTGCTATCATACCAGGTTTGTGATCTCGCGATAAAACACTGACAGAAAATCATTGTTAGCATTTGCCACCCTGGGTAGTACTGGTACGGTATTTCATATTTTGGGTCCATGGCAAGGCGCACGATTAATCTTGGAAGCAATGACTCCACTGGACTTTATGATGCCACTCAACTGGGTCGTGCTGCATCGACGGCTTCATTTCTCACTCGAAGTTTTCCCGAACACTGCTTGGGCTGGCTTGGAGTCAGCTATTGTCGGCGTAAGGCACTACCAGCAGGTGGGGCACTTTATGTTTTCAACCTCGCTCAAATCTAAGCTGTTGTGAGTTAACTCAGCCCATCACCATCCCTTTCGGGGGATGGGAAGTCAACAGTGATTGTACCTGCGGAGAGCCTCGCTCCCGGCAGAGGAATGTGGACATTTCCACCCCTGGCTCAGGGTTGTAAACATTTAAGCAAGAAGTCACTTCTTTTCTAAAATTACTAAAAGGACAACTTCGAGCGAGGTGGATGTGGAAATCAAAGATAATTTCCGGAGCGGTGTTCCGGATTTGTTCCGGCTGATATTGCGGGTGCGGCCAGGAAATATTCAACACCAGGGTTGCAGTAGCCAGAACCTTTGAAAACAATTCATGAACAGCTTTGGTTTTCCTGCGCAAAATAACGGCGTGTTAAACATTTTAACATGAAGGGAATTTAAATGATTCTGTATTTTTGCATAATTATTAAAGAAACGAGTTATTAAAATTATTGCATGGAAATGTCCACTGTGCATTTTATACTGAAAGCAGAATACCTTTTGGCATGCCTGTCAATGGATAATAATAATACTGATTTTGTTATCTATGAAAACAAAAGCCTGCAATTTAAATATGCATATGTCTTTTTACCCAGAAGCTCTGCCATTTATGCAGGGAAGTAATATTTATGAATGCTACTGTGATATTTACAGGATCTTTCAAAAGGGCACTCGTGATAATTACGAGTTTTTCCGCACGGCCAGAAGACAAGTTGTTATTTTTTGTCAACTTCTAGGCCAAGTACTGGGGTGCAATCCTAACAAAAGGCCATCGATTGCACCAACATTGATGAAATATTGCGTTGTTTCTGCACCGTGCAATCGGGGCACACTGCGGCTGCATCCCAGTCACACCCGTTGGAGCCGGATTCTAAATACGTATTGCAATCATTTAATCAGCCACATGACCACATCAATAGTGTGCGCGTGTTTTGGAGAGCGGTGGCGCGGTGGTTAGCCCAAATAGCGCGAAAAGAATCCGGCGACTCGAAGGTTAAATGTCCCCCTCTCGCGATCAATAACAGTGGCGAAGATATGAACCGGTCCTGGGCCTCGCCTAGGTCGACTTGGCCTTAAACGAGTAACTGGTGCGGTGTGTAAACATCGGCACTGGGAAGACCAAGGCGGTCGGGTGTGGTGCTGGCCACCCACCCCTTTGTGTAACGTGCCGGCCTTCATAGGCGCTAGTCGTAAATGGCATTACTCCCGACAGCCTGTTGAAAACTAACAAGTATGGGAGAGACCTGTTAACTTAAAAAAAGCCAAAGAGCCTCCCACTTGTTCGCCATCGTTGTCAACACGTGGCCTGGAATCCTCTCCAGGTGGTCTCCAGAGCTTGGAGGCAGCAGCACATTTCTTGCGGTTTTGTTGCAAATTCTCGACAGGGTTAACGTTTTTTGTAGCACCCTGTATGTGCGTGTGTGCACCATCGCCCGCTAGTGTACAGCTTTGAAGGACCCTCCTTACAAAACAAGTCTTTGAGGCTCAGCGATGAGGCGACCCTGGGTTCAACGTAACGCACCAACACTCAGACCTCGCCAAATGCTCCGGGTGCGTTCTCAGAGCGGTGAGCGCTCATCGAATCACCGTTAACAATGGGGTCATTTATACCCACCGCATAAAGCCTCTCTGCTGTTTGGAATGGCACACCCATCGACGGGTCGTGACTTGGGTCAGCTGCGTCAATTTAATGACTTCACAAGAAATTGTACTTGCCCAAAACGTGAAAGAACCTGGAAATATACAGAGGGGAGCATGAAAGCATCCCAATGAAATGTCTCAAATGTAACTCATAATAACTATGGCAATTTGAACAAAAAAAGTTACGAAATAAAAACCATCCAAGAACACGAAATCTTAGATTTTTTTCACTTTCATCTTCAACGCAATTGAACAAAAAACACAGCGAAACATGTCGAGTCTCCAACCTGTTCCGTGTCTGTGTGGGATAGAGTGTTGCTCCCTCGCCCGCGTGGGCTTTCTCCCGCATGTGGACACTCGTTTTTATTGGCTGATAACACCTTAATATATTGGGGATCGCAGAGCTGAATCAATAATTATTGGTAGGGCCGGGCCACCGTGTGGCTGCTGCTGCTTTTCCGCTCGTTTGTGGTCCCTCCACGCGCCTCAGAGTCTCTCTCTCTTTTCGAGACTGTGCAGCGTTCCAAGTTCAAATTATATGATTAAAAAAAGAAAGAGTACATAATAGGCGACGTTCTGGGCAAATTACCCTTCTTTTTAAAGTTATGTACAATGAAGGGCTGTTGCCAAAAACTATTTCTCCGTTTAAGGCCGATGTGCTCCCGACGAATGTGTTGAGATTTTGTTTCTTTCGGAGGCGACTTGGGCACCACTGCCAATGCATACATTAACGAGTAATTTGGAAACGAACGAACGAACCTTGTTTTGTTCAATTTAAACACTTACGGTTGATTTGGTAACACCAGGGTATGTTCCACTGAATTCAGTAGAATGCACTGGCATAGACATTATCATCAAGGGACTCTGTGATGAGCAAAGCAAAAGGCGACATCCCGGTCGAAAAAAGCAAGAACAGGAAAGTTCAACCGAATGCAATTTAACCTCTTCCTGTAAGAACAAGACCCATGGACTCGACTTCTCTCCACCGGCTCACCTACCTCTCCTCTCTCATCTCACTCTACTCCCCGCCACGCACTCTCCTACCTCTCCCCTCTCATCTCACTCTACTCCCCTCCACGCACTCCCCTTACTCTCCCCTCTCATCTCGCTCTACTCCCCTCCACGCACTCTCCTACCTCTCCCCTCTCATCTCACTCTACTCCCCTCCACGCACTCTCCTACCTCTCTCCTCTCATCTCGCTGTTACAGGACTCCCCTCCACGTGCTCTCCGACCCATCTTGTAATCTCACTCTACCGATGCATTGCCACAGCTGGGAGTTTAATCCAGTTAAATGCAACAAAAAAAATGAACGCGATAGGGAAGTCAGAAACAAATTTCCCGACGAATGCCCCATTGAGCTTTCCGCGACTCGGCTGGCAGACGAGATCCAGTAGCAAAGCGTGTAACGCGCTCGCTGTTGACTGTGGTGAGGCCATCAACTCGCACTGCACATTTAAATTACGGGTGGGCGAAAGCTGCATTCAAAAACCCAGGGATTAGCACTCCGGGTTTTGACACCGGTGAGAAAACGGCTTCCCCGCCCCCCCCCCCCCCCTGAAATGCAATAACAAGGACGTGGATGTCGCAGGTTCTTCGTATTCAAAGAACTCACACAACCGCCGTAAATTCAGGTATTACAACTTTTATGTTTGAAATCTAGTACAAACGGCCATACATACATACACATTCATTTACTACAGTGTCTCAACAGATGACGAAACCTTCGCAACAAGGATCCCTGTGTACAAAAGTCACATAGTAAACATCTCTTTTAGTTTGCTTAAATTTGACAACTGCTGTTGTTTCTCTGCATCAAACATATACAATATTACAAATTAAGAGTTCCCAATTATTTATTATATAAAAAAGGCAACAGCCGTTTTTTTGGTCAAAAATCACGAATCGTATATATACCACGTGGGAACATCCCTCCCGACCGTTAACAGACACAATCTCATAGTTTTCTTCCATGGTGAGCACGAACGTATATATATACACACACATCTTGCCCATTTATACATAGTACAACATTTAGTGCCAATATCAGACAAAAGCAAATAAATGAATGTCTTAATTTATTACGAATCTTTGTTACTATAACATTTATACATTCACGTGTGTGTAAGTTCAGTAGTAACATAAATTGGAGACATTTATAAAACCAAAAACGTGATGTTATACCTGTAAAAAAAAACCCCAACAACTTTGATTCAGTCGTCAAACATATAATAATTTACAGTCCTTTTGTCAATTAATTGCGTTGATCTTGGGGGGGGGGGTTTATTTGACCACGTTGGTCAGAGAGGGCTGCTGAATTGGGAGAAGAACTGGTTCTAATAGCACCTCGCCAGCGATATTAATCCAGGCCAGGAATCAAACTTAGCTCACCGAAATGACAACACAAGTGTGCAATGCACTGCGCCACAACTCAACCTCATCAAACACATTTACTTATACAGTAAAACCTTGGATTGCGAGCATAATTCATTCCGGAAACGTGTTTGTAATCCAAAGCACTCGTATATCAGTTGTGATCACGTGACGCTCGGCAGACAAAGCGTATACGTACTACTCGTATTGCAAGATCTCGCTCGTTTATCAAATTAATATTTATTTAAAAAAATTGCTCGTCTTGCAAAACACTCGCAGACCAAGTTACTCGCAATCCAATGTTTTACTGTCTTTCACTTGCTATCCTATCTGAAGTTTCAGTAAAATTAAGTGTTTTAGAAAATTATGGTCAAATTGTTTTGTTTAACTTACCAAATTAGTTTTAAAAAATATTGCTAAACAATAAAGTCATTATACAAATAGCATTTAGACAATCATTTAGCAAAGTTGATAAAATGTATTTTGTAATTAGGCAAGTAATGTTAAGACCACCTTATAACATGTACAAAATAAAAGGGAACACGTTCTCTCCAAACTTTCTGAATGACAACAAATGTAAATGTTGTATTGTAGTCCAAAGGATCTTCACACAATCTGTTCAATTTACATACGAATGCTTTTAAATCAATAAGCATTTTACGTGAGCTGACTGGTATACATTGACGACTGTGCCGAGTTCCACCAAACTAGCTGCACTTGAGAATCCAGTTGAGGGACCCATGTTACATTCCTGACCGGGGTGCTTTACGGAGTTTGTACCTTCTCCTGCTGGCAGAGAAAGACCTCCATGAGAAGAGGGAGCTCTAAAAAGCTCCCCCCAGAGGAAGCTTTTTGGCCTACTCTTCCCACACTTTACCCCACCACACGTCACGTGCCAATCGACCGGCTCTCCGTTTAAACTTGCTGGGCGGACAGAGAGGAAGGCAGGCCACCCTCTGAACGGCAAGCCTATTGTGCCATTACATCACCACGACAGCATCCCGCCCCAGCATACAAATATTGAGAAGTTCAGAAGTTTATTTCTCGAGCAAAGCCCCATTGACTTACATAAAGGAACTCAACACATTTCTCAATAACAATGCGGCCTTAAAAGGAAATACAAATAATGGGCAACGTTTCAGACAATGGTCCTTTATCACACATAAATCTGAAAAGGGCCACTCCCTGAAACGTCACCTGCTATATATTTTTCCTTTAAGGCCACGGGTGTTATTGATATGGAACGCGTTAAGATTTTTTGTCGATGTTGATTGTGCTTATGCAACGCAGCAGCAACACCCGAGTAGTTTGCTTAACATTGGCCTCTACGGCTCTAATTCAAGGGGCGACTTCCCCTGTAGGCAAAATATTACATTCCTATATTTTTGCAGTGCCTATGGGTTTTTGATTGGCTAAAAGGGACCACTCGCCTGTTAAAAAATGCCTTTAGAAATACAAAAAAAGAGTATTTCTCACCAATCCATTAAACACGCACTAGGCCCAGGGTGTGTACACGGTACGTTAAGTTTGTTCATTTAAAAATATTTCTTTCAAAAATGGCCAAACATTTTACATATTACTCTATCTCATAAAAGCATAAACCGTACCACGGTAATAAAAGAAATGCATCAACTTTGCACGTAGTGTAAAAAAACTCCTCAGCATAAATACATTCATATTTTTCAGTTTATCTTAATCAAAACATTTCTCACCATGAAAAATGGAATTATTGTCAGTTAACGGCAATTAGACCCCGACGACGCAGATGGTGGCGTTTCCACTCGTACATAATTGGTACGGGCAGTATATCTATATCAGATGCATCGTCCATACGTACTGCTTAGCACTATTTCAACCCTTTAGTGCTTTTGTCAAACCACTTCTGGATGAGGGCCTCCCCGTGGAGTGACGAGCGGGTTAACCGACCATAATTCACCACGCTGGTCATTGAGGAGTGGTGAAGGCTGGCAGCGCACCTTCACGTTGGGAGCATAGTGCAGGTAAACGATGGGATTTGCTGCACTCTCCTCTGCTGACAAGTTAGGCCCTCAGCAGCCTACAACACCTGTTTAATGCGTGGCGGTCACCGCCCATCCCATCCAAGCGCTATCCAGCCTCGACCTCGCTTTGCGTCCAATATTGGGGCGCATTCCGGCCGATTCGACCACGGGCAAACCATTTAGCGTGCCCGATTTACAAAACGCCGTGCCAAACGCCCACTTGCCAGGATGCGCGACTGAAGTGCAAACCATCTCCGCGCGTGACCTTTGTCCACATTCTGTTTACATTTTTACACACGTGGCGAAAAGACGGCGGCGGCGGCGGCGGCGACGACGTGGCACAGTCCTCACGGGGCAGAGCGGAGAGAGCGGAGGTCACGCGCTTGTGCTGTCCTGGTGGTGGTGGTGGTGGTGTGGCGAGTTGGCGCCGAGGGTGATGTGCCGCGGCTGTCCCGGCAGCTCCCGGCTGTTGCTGTTGCTCTTGCAGCTGTTGTGCCGCGCGGGGGACGGGAGGACCGTCGCGCTCCGCCTGCTGTTGGGCGTGTGCCTGCTGTGGCGGGCGAGAGAGACACAGCAGCCGTCACACCCACGGAGCGTCGAGCTCTCGCCAACAACATTCGGCAGCCGCAGCGTTTTTTTCCTTAACGTGCCTGACTCGCTCCGCCAATGAGTACCTGGAGGGTCGAAACCGGTTGCCAGGGTTTTGCTCGCTCGAACAAATTGCCTTGCAGCGGTGACGCGGCCGGACAGTCGCGCGTTTTGCCGCTTGTTGCAGAGGTTCGCGGTTGGTACCCAGTGGCCTCCCTGGTTAATACTGAGGGTGCATTAACCTGGTCCGCTTCACAATGGAAGTTAAAACTCCCGTGACACTATCAGAGAAAGGATAAGCCAGTGTCACGGTCCAAATTTGAAACATTACTCACAAATGACTCACTAAGGAGAGCACATCGCCCCCTGCTGTGACACTTCTGCACAACATAACTGTATGCATGCAGAACGTCTTTCGCAAAATACGTAGCCAACCACGCGAATCGGAGGCGCGAAAACACCATGCGAAACGCTGCGCCCTCGCAAGAGCCGTTATTCAAAACCTCCCCGCTGGTGGTGCAAGCGGCAGGAAAGCCATCGACCGGGCCACCGTGCCTCACGACCGACTTCACGACGAAAATAAAACGACGAACGCGCCGTGAACGTCTTCCCGCGGTGGGGCGGCGGGGGGGGGAAGGGCGGGGGAGCGTGCCCGTGGCGAACCTGGCGTCGGGCGGCTTGCCGTGCGTGCCGCTCACGCGGCTGTGCTGGCTGCTGGGCTTGCTGCTGCCGCACAGCCCCGGCGGCGGCGGCGGCGGCGCCGTCGCCTCTTCGAGTGCGTTGGAGGAGGAGGCGTGCGTGGACGTGCCCTGCGTCGAGGTGCCGCGGGACTTGCGCGGCGCGGACGCGAGAAGCGTCTGGGAGCAGACGTCGTGAGACTCCTCCAGCACCCGCCGGCTCTCGTTAACTACCGCCCTGCGGGGTGGGAGGGGCGAGGGGATTGCATATTTTAGCACAAGCTTGCGTGGTTAATGCACACTTGATGCCTTGCGGTAGGTGTCTATTTGGTGTTTGAACATCTTAACACCGACTGCATTATCGCCGGAAAGGGTAAAGTGGAAAAAAGGGGTCCTGTAGATCAGTCGTTACTCTCAACCTTATTTGGCAACTGTAGCCAACGCCCCCCCCATTTCCTGACCGAACATGCTCCCGAGATAATAAATGTATGAATATTGAACAACGCTATTTTAACAAAATGTCCATCTTGCTAGTAACTGCAAGCGTACGCTCTGCGTGCGTGACCATCATTTGGCCGTGCTCGCTGGTTACTCTTGGAAACCGCATTGTTTCCAATCAAAGTTACCATATGGATTCATACATGATTATTCACCAATGACTCATGTGTGATATAATTTCACACATTCATAAATCACCTCACGTACCCCCTGGAACATTGCCACGTGGACCCAAGGGTACACGTATCCCCGGTCGAGAACCACTGCCGTAGATAATACGAATATAGTTTGTCGTGAAATTTGTTGTACGAGCGTGGATAAGAGCGTGTGGGCGAACAGAGCTGGCTGTCCAGATCGGGAGGAGGACGGCACTCACTGCTTGTGCCGTCGTCCCGACAGGAAGGCCGCCCATCCCAGACATGTCTTGCGGCTGCCGACCCAGAAGGCGGGCGGGATTCCGACGACGAGCGTGGTGAAGTACTTCACCAGGAAGAGCACGAGCGCCGGCCGCTGCTTCGGCTGGTTCGCCTGCGTCGCGGTCGACACAAGACGCGCCCAAACGTCACCGCTCGTGCGCGTTTCTGCGACAGTCAATCGTCGTTAAGGCCGCCGGCGCGAACGAAACCACGGAAACGAGACGGGGGGGGGGGGGGGGGAGGAGAAGAAATAAAAAACGCGGTAAAGGAAACTCAAATAAAATTCGCGAATCGGCTCAGGTACCGCGAAAGTCCATCGAATCGCTGGAGAGGAACGGTCAACGCGCCCGCCCTTACCCACCACACCTACCTGGTAGGGGCACGGTATGCGGTACTCGGTGCAGCGATCGCGCAGCCACGTCGCCTCCCAGGCGGCGCGCGACGCCTGCTCGTACACGAGGCATGCCACGAGCGCCAGCTGCGGCACGAGGTAGAGCACGCTGAACACGCCGATGCGCACCATGAACTTGACGAGCTTCGTCTGGTTGCGCCCGTCGTGGCGCATCTCGAGGCGCACGCGGTTCAGCGACACGATGCCGGCGAGCAGCAGCGAGAGGCCCGCGGCGGCGCACGCGCCCAGCGGCGCGAGCACGAAGTAACGCAGCGTCGTCACGTCGTAGAGGCCCGCGAAGCACACGCCGCTCAGGTTGTCGCCCTCCACCTTGTTCAGCGCCAGCAGCGCCACCGTGAGCGCGGCCGGCGGGCCCCAGGCGAGCGCGTGGAACGCGGCCGCCCTCTTCTCGATGGCCTCGCGCCCCCACTTGAGGCCCGCGGCCAGGAACCACGTGATGGTGAGCACCACCCACCAGAGGGCGCCGGCCATCGCGGAGAAGTAGAGCAGCATGAAGACGGCGGTGCACGCCTTGTTGTTGCGCGAGCCCTGCGTGACGGTGCCGGCGGCGCCGGGCGCGAGCCCCGGCGCGTTGCAGGCGGCCGCGGAGTCGTCCAGGAGGAAGCCGACGAGGAAGGAGAGCGAGACGGCGACGTAGCAGGTCGCGTAGAAGATGATGGGCCGCTCCGGGTAGCGGAAGCGCTTGCGGTCGAGCAGGAAGGTGAGGAAGGTGAAGGTGGTGGCGACGAGGCACACGACGGACATGACGCCCACCAGGTAGCGCGTGAGCTCCAGCTCGCCGGAGCTGAAGTACATGTTGGGGCACGGCGGCGAGCAGTCCGGCACGCCCATGAACGAGTAGCCGAGCCCCGACGGGACCTGCGGGTTCACGCGGCCAGGGTCACGGGGTTGCGGTGTACGGGATCTTCAAATCCTGCTAGCTCACCAGATTGGTTGACATCGTAAAGTTTAGTTTCTCTGTTCCCAATGACCTTTGCGAAGAAGTTACGAGGTCGAAATGAACAACGCGGAATAGCAGCCAATGGGGGGAAAACGCGTCCACCGTGGAGATCGGGCGATGAAAATCGGCTCGTGCAGATTTCCAGACGGATGAGTGGACGGCTTTACAATTGGCCTGAATTACCACGGAGGTTTGCACGGTTGCGCTGCTTCGAGTGCGCACTTCTTTTCGGAGCACGCCGCTTGATGTCCGGCACGGTGTCTGACATTTCCAGTCGACGTGCGTGTGGGAACACACGTGGGGGACAGGCCGACCCGGGCTGTATTGGCTGTGGCACAGCTCACGCGTCCTCTTTCCCCACAAGGTGGCAGCGTTAAAGAAGGCTTGGGTTCAAAAGTAAATTTTTTCGCCCGTTTTTTTTTAAGACAAATCTTTTTTATTTTACCAGGTATGGTCCACTGAGCTATATAGCGCTTTTTTTTTAGAAGCGATCTGGCCCCAAATGATAGCTCAAAGAAGTGGCTTATCACGTGGAAATTTATAGTAGCCAAATACTCTAAAACGCACGTCGATTCTAAAAGTGGAGGAAAAATCTGGAGGAGCCGGAGGACCCGGAGGAAAATCCACGCAACCGTGGGGAGAACATGCAAACTCAATTTACACAGGCCTCAGGGTCGGGATCGAACCCACAGCCTCCTGCATTCCAGGCAAGGGAGTTAACATCTTGCCACCGTGGCGCCCACAAAAGACAGGGTGACGACCCACTCCTGGTGACCAGGACAGCATCAAACCCCCCCCCACCCATCCCCTCCCACCGCCACCACACGCACCCCCCTCCCGGATCCACTGCCATTGGTACCGACCTTGAGCTCGCGCGGACACCAGAAGCCGTAGTCGCGCTGGGCCGAGTGCTGGGTGGTCTGTGGCGTAGCGCCACTCACCATCGGCCGCGGCGACATGGGGTAGGGCTCATCGCACTCCTCCAGCCTGGACCAAGCAACGGCAGGCGTGCAATGAAGTTATGGGGAGCCGCGGTGGCGAGATGTTAACTAGCTCGCCTGGTAGGCAGGAGGTCGTAGGTTCGATCCTGACCCTCACGACGCTTGTATATTGGGAGTTTGGGTGTCTCTCTCTCTCTCTCTGTCCCCGTGGTCAAATTGATTGATTTTTCACCGGGTCTTCGGGTTTTTCTCTCCACATTTAGAATCAACGTGCGTTTCCAGTATTTGACTCCTATAAACGTCCACGCGATAAGCCACTTTCGTTGAGCTATCATTTGTGGCCTGTTCCGTTCTGAACAAAGAGCTGCATAGCTCAGTGGGACTTACCTGATAAAATAACAAAAAGTTTAACATTATAGTTTAGAACTGAAGGCCAACTGATTGCGCACATCCGGCGTGCTCAGAATTCCGCCACAGCAGTAGCATCCCAGTTTATTAAAACCAGGGCAGCGTCCACAACGTTTCCAATGGAATGCAGCCACAGTGATCTCAAGCGCTTAAGATATCTGTCAGCCGCCGCTCTGCTAAAAAAGTTCCACGTGATAAGCCACTTCATTGAGCTACCATTTATGTTTAGTTCGCTTCTGAAAAGGAGCTATACATACTCTTTGGTTCTTTCGGTAAAATCACGTAGTTAGAAATAACACAAGCGGCCGCTTGTGTTGCGATCGAAACGTCGTGTTTGTTTGTTTGATTTTATTTCTACCCACGTGACTTTACCGAAAGAACCAAAGAGTATGGATTCCTGCAGTCACGAAAGCTTCAAATCAAGAAGGAAACAGCTCTTTTGAGTGCGGGCGTATGTGTGTGTGACGAGGGGGCGAGGAAAGAGATTTCTGGGTGTGTCGGTTAAAATGTCAACAACACCTGAGCACGTAACTTCCTTTTGTAAAAGCAAATCTGAAGTGAAAATGTAAAGCCTCGGTAAGAGCATTCCATAAATCCACTCGCGAGCCACGTGTCCCGGTGCACTGGTAAACGGGCGATTTACCACTCGCGTGCCCCGCTCCCATAGTAATAATAATAAAGCCTTCAAACAGTTTCATTTCCGTTTCAAAATGAAATAATTTCACGCTGAGCAAATCCCGTGAAATCGAATTTATACAGAGGCATGCACAGGGGGTGAATGTGATCAATTAAACTCTACTTTAATTAGAAAAATGAGGCACACGCGAGTCTCTGGAGGAGGGGGGGGGGGAGTGGTGGGGGCACGAGTCAAACACTGCCAACGGACACCATTAGTCGGAGCGGATGTTTAGCGCCTCCCTGGTACCACGCTCTCGCTCGCGGCCTTAATTAGAAACCCAGCCGTGTGAAACGACCAAAAACTTCACTTTCACACGTCCCTCCTCCTCTTAGCCTCCCCCCTCCCAGCCGGCCGTCTGTCCGCACGGCCGTCTGTCCATGCGACCGTCTGCGTGACAATCCGTGCACCTGCCCGCTTGTCACTCTGTCCCATCCATGTGTCCCATCCGTTCGTCCATCCTTCCATGAGTCCATCTATCAATGTGATTATCCGTCCGTGTGTTTGTCCGTCCGTACGTCCGTCATCGATGTATCCGTCCATATGTTCGTCCATTCGTGTGGCCACCCGTCTGTGCGTCTATCCGTCTGTATGTTTGTGTGTTCACCTACCGGCCCTTCCAGCTCCATAGAGCTCCCACGGGTGGAAGCCTTCCCACAGCAGTATCATGAGCAAAAACACTTGCAGGGCTGCACCCTTACCTCTTATCCTTCAATGGCAATTGCAAGTTGTGGACGTGCGAGCGAGTGGGGGCTGTGTGAAGCGGGCAGGAACACAAAGTGCTTGCCACAAATCAATCACAATACCCTTGCTGGTCCCGTCAAGGAGCTTGAACCATCACTCGAACCCCCGCCCATCCTCGCGGCAGCGGCTTTTCGCTTGCCGTCGAACAAAGACGGTCACCACGTCGCGTGCTTTCAGATGCGCTTCTGCGGCCGTCTGGAACGACGGTCTACCTTCCAATATTGGGAAGCCACTGGAGCTATGCACTTTTAAATCTAGATTGAAAACTCACTTCTTCAGAGCTGCTTTTAGTGTTTAGGTTGTTGTCCCTTCACCGGCACCTCCGATCAGCACGGTTGGCTACGTATGGTGCGAAAGAAGTTCAACATACATACGACTGCACATGCAGCACGGTGACACTCATCGTTCAGCCGGTAATAACACAAAATGTGAGGCAGTGTTTCTCACGAGCCTAATGGAGCAATTTTCACGCGATAATGTTGCTTACAATAAAAGTTTACGTCCGCGTTGCTGCGTTTAAGATACGTGGTGTCATGGTAAATGCGCAACCAATGCAAAATGCCATGCCCACATGCCCCTACTGGTAACAGGGCCTCGACTAGTGATAGCTATAGAGGGTATTGTGGCCTGCTCTACCACGCTTGGCAGACGTAGGAGTACCCGCCACACTTGACCCTGCCACGCACGACCTGCTTGATCGACGCACAACAATGTACCCATTGATACCGCTGGGCGGAGAGAGGCGACGGAGATCTAGAACCGTGCGTCACCGTGTCGACCGCTGCGCCAGGAGGTGGTACCAGCGACAAGTCCAGTGACTGCAAGTCCACGGCAGCAACAGCAGCAGAATCCATGTTTTAAGAGAGGCTGAAATAATTACCGGCGAAACGTCGTGCTCGATTCACAATTCATAATGAAGGTTTTTTTTTGTACTCGAATTGTAAATGTTGTGGTTTACTCTCCAACACACCGGTGTGCTGAACCAGTATCGAATTGGCATGTTTTGTTTACGTGACACACCTTACCAATTGGCTGTGTTGGGTGGTGGCGCGTTTGGCGACACATTTACTGTATATTCACGAAATCTAACAAAAAAACCCCTCAAGTATGGATAATATTGGTCACGAAAGCCTACGTGTTAAACTGAATACTGAGGAAATAAAGTTGTTTGCAACACACAAACTCGTTTGAAGCTGTTTGATGTTGCTTGAGGAACGACACACACATTGGCTGGATGGTGTCACGTGACCGCCAATGCAAAGAGGGCTGGATGTGTTTTTTTACGTGCGAGACTGAATGGATGTGTTTATTAGTGAGAAGGCTGCATCGTGCTATATTTATAAAGATAAAGAGCACAGATACCTTAGTTACCGGTGCTTATTAGCAACAATAAATAAATGCAAAGGGCCGAGTAGGCACTGTTCCTTGCCTATATGCCCTGCCAGGTTCCAAGGGGTTAGGTTGTCCAGGCGTGGTGGGAGGGCAGGGTTGGGCCTCCCCCCACCTTGTACTGTGTTAATGATCGTAGATACAGGCGGCAATTCATTTTAATTGCTCAGTAACACGCAACCACATTGCAAAACAGAAGCGATGAAGTTGCCGTGTTCTACGTGAGACGTCGTGCCACATTTGAACGCATCATGGTTACATAAAGGGAGGCTGAACAGTTTAGCGTCGATGAGCACGGTTGAATATGTACGGTGCGAAAGATGTTCAACATACATACGTACTAGATTGAAAGCACCGCCTGTGCCTTTGCAGAAAGTTGAACATCAATGAACAGCACAAATCTCAAGGCACATTGCTGTTGTTAACACCAGAGGCCTCTGTCCGACTTTAAAACGGACACTCGGTATACACTTCCACCAACCAATCCGAGCCAGTGGTGCACCAACTCCAGAAGACAAAGGTGCCAAAAAAGCCCAAATATTTTGTTGCGCCCAACAAAGTATTTAGATAAGAAGGCAACAGCAGGAGGAGCTTCGCTTCCGCTGTCAGCCACTCTCTCGCATTTGCTCCGCTGTCCTTGTGCCGCTCCGAACAGCAGCCCATCTTAAATGTGGATGCCGCTGCCGCCGCCATGGACTCGCAATCACTGGGACTCGTCTCTGCTACCACCACCTCCCGGTGCAGCGGTCGAAACAAACGACGCTCACGACTAGATTGCACGTTTGCCGCGAGCGTGAAACGCGTCGATTTCAAGTCGACGAATCGATGCGGTTACCGCACGCAATGCCTGACATACAATCTGTTGTTTGGGAAAAAATGGGGGGGGGGGGGGGGGGGGGGGAAAGAGGAGGCAGATACGTGACGGTGCAAGCCAGAGTTCGTGGCTGCCGGCAAGAGCAAACCCACGCGAAAGATTAGGTCCTGACACCACTCAAGGGGCTTGTAGTTTACTTTCTAATTGTCTACTGTAATCTCACTACATCTCACAAATTTTTATCTACATTTCTAGTATCTCAATACTATATACGAGGATTGTATTAATTAAAAGGTGGGTTGGCGGGGGGGGGGGTGTTATGCTCAGGGCCCCCCCAAATGGACCACCTCAACACGGTAGGCTACGTGCAGTGCGAAAGAAGTTCAACTTGCGTACATACGTTCATGCACTGGCGCAAGCCGGAGCCCCCCCGCCACCCCCCCTCTTGTCAACCACAAGGGCTAGCGGACGGAGGCAAGGAAAAAATGTAGCGTTGAGGAGGATTTTTTTTGCGTGGCTTGTCAACTGTGTCAAAGCAACGGCAAGCAAAACACCTGGCATTCGTACGCCTCTTAACGACGGCTAATCCGCTCGCTCACTCACTCCTGGCCAGGAGGGACGGCCTGAAACCGTCAACGCGCCGCACGCTCGGAATTCTTCCGAGTCATCGGCGCCGTTGTTGTTGTTGTTGTTGTTGTCGAAAAGAGAACCGGTCTCACATCTGTTAGTTTGTCGAGTGTCTGCGATGACAAAGAGACGGGCCGCGCCAGGGGCTACAGTAAATCCGCACGGAAGAGCATCGGCTGTTACAAAACGTCAGCTGCGGCATGCGATTGAGGTGAAGTTCAAAAACGTTATCGCCAACTCCGACGCCAAAACCTCCAACTGAGATATTTCACGGTCCTGACACCGCATTAACTATTCCACCTGGACACATGGTGTGATGATGACGGTAAGCACACTTGGGCCTGCATGTATATTTCACTTCTTTCGCGCCATACACAGCCAATCACGCTAATCCGCATAACGGAGATCGCTGCTTCGATTACATCAGATCTCCTGGCACGGCAGTTGAAACAAGTTTCTTAATTCCTCCCCCTTTCTTTGTACGTACCAGTTGGGCGATTGGCAGCTGGCATGCGGTGAGGTAAATTTATTGTAACGTTGTGACCTGCCCCTACTGAACATCTGTGAAAAAGAGCTTGATAGCTCATCGGATTCCTCCAGTATAAAAAAAATATTCTAATTCTGATTCTGTGCATAATACTCCTAACATCGGGCCGGCATAGAAGAGTAGGCCCATTACCCTCCACAAGTGCTCTCTTGATCTCTCTCTTAAGTGGAGGCAGGCCCGTCCGTCAGTGGTGGGGTGAGCGAGTATTTGCCGGGCTGCACTTTTACCTTTCTTTGTTTCGTTTAAACCTTACGCCCAATGTGTGTATGTATAGTTTATCAACCCAGCTCAAACTACCGTCTAATTAGAATTCGTACATAATGGATGGATCTCTTTCAGGCCAACCCGGTATATTTTTTGCACTCAACACCAACTTGTTACGACAGCCAGACGTTGAAGGGTTCTGTGTTATCTTTTCCCTCCCCAGACCTGCTCCGCCCTGACACCTACGCGCACGTCTGGAAGGTTTCACCGTCTTAGAGAAAGAGAAAAAACAACCCTGACGACTGAACTCCTTGAAGGCCGCGTGTTTTAAAAAGACGCACGGTCCGAACGCCGAGGGCCAAACGCGGCACCTGGCACAAGCTGGGCTCCGTGCGCAAGCCCGGGGAGATTGTCACTCGCAGGCCCCCCCCCCCCGCTTCTTATTCAGCAGAGCAACGACAGTTCTGAGCCAAGCAGAGTGCACAGTCTGGCACCGAGACCGGCAGTCGCGCGAGTGCCACTTTCAGCAGAATAAAAAAAAAAACGCACAGCGTTGCGGCGTCTCGCCAACAACACAAGTCTCATCGGATCGAGGAGGCTAAGGAGGCTTGGGCTCGGTAAGTAACTTGGATGGGTGACCACCACCAGGGCTTGCCAGTGTTGCGGGCGTGGGGCTGTTGATGCTTGGACAGGAGATGGCAGTGCCGGGTGTCACCCGCTCGTGCAAGTGGTTTGGCCAAAAAACGCTCGTTCGTGAAAATGTCTCAACGTCCAAAACGGCTTAGGACGCTTCTGTTGTGGTGTGGCAAGTGCTCTCCTGGGTTAAGTACCCGACCAGTGTTAGCATTGAGGTGCAAAGTGATGACGCAGTGGTAGGCACACTGCACTTTGAACCCAGCTACTCGATTTCGATTCCCAGCCACGATGAACGTCAGTGGTGAACGACATCTGAACGGATCCTGGGCAGCCTCCTTCAGCAAACCACACCGGCTAAAGTGATGAAGTGTGGTCACACAACCCGCCTGACTTAGACAGCATTTCTGGAGGCTTTCATCATTTGATTGCCAAGGGACTGAAATTATAATTATTCATTATTAAACGGTGAAAGATAAAGTTGCAGACCTGCAATTGCTTGCTCGCTCCACTGCTGTCAGAGAGGCCTCCACTAGAGGGCGCTGTACAGAACTCTCTCGGGTTGGCCAGTGTTAGGTGCCACTCTCGGGTTGGCCAGTGTTAGGTGCCACTTAAACCACACGCAGACCTGCCTATCGACCAACTGTGGTGAGCCCATTTATACTGCTGGGGAGATGGAGGCAGTGGGGAGGGGGGAACGATTCAAGAAACTTGCCCCATTGTTTCGACTGACACGCCTGAAGACGCAATCGATCCCAACCCTGACGCCTGTTGTATATTTGGAGTTTGCGTGTCTCTCTCTCTCTCTCCCCGTGGTCGCATGGAATTTTCTCCAGGTCTTCCGGTTTTTCCCTCCACTGTTAGAATCAACGTGCGAATCGGGTATTTGGCTCCTATAAATGTCCACGCGATCAGCCAATTCCGTTGAGCTATCATTTGTGGCCTGTTCCCTTCTGAAAAACAGCTGCTTTCAGTGGGCCCTTACCTAGTAAAATACAAAAAGTCTAATATTTTAGTTGAGAATTGACGGCCAACTGATTGGGCACGTCCAGCGTTCCACCACAGCAGTAGCATTCCCGGCTTATTAAAACCAGGGCAGCCTCCACAAAATTTCCAACGGAATGTCGCCGCAGTGACCTCAAGCGCTAAGATATCTGTCCTCCGCCGCCGCTTCAGCGACGCGCCGTAAATAACGAGACGGTTTCAGCCCGCGCAAGGAACGCGAGCACACGCGCGCGAGTCCGATCGATCGGCGCAAGTAAATAAATAAATAAGCAACCTACGGGCGGTCGCGTGCACGCGGGAGAGAGAATTCGGCGGTGTCGTCAACATGTCCCGCGCCAACAGTGCACGGGGCATGAGTAACCGTGGCCGCCTGGCAAATATTTAACAGAGAGTCTGGAGGGTTCAGACCGTGACACTGATCTAGGAGAAGAATCCGTTAATGCATGACCGCCGTTCCTCTCGCTAACACCGCGCAGGCAGCGGGCCCGTGAGAAACCCACGGCGGGGGGGGGGGGGGTGCGGTGTTTGAGAGACGCCGAGAACCAGCGCGGCAATAAAAGAGCCTGAACCCAAACTCGAAACAACGATGAGTGCCCCCATTTTGGGAGAACGAGCGATGAAAAGATCATTGCTCGCCATGGGAAACCGACGAGGATTGCGGGCAGTAAACGAGCTCTAAACCGCCAAATCGAGCTTCCCCGCATAGACAACCATGCAATAAAAATATCCAAGTGGGCCCCTTAGCGGAGGCTCAGCCGTTGCTGTGCGTGAACGGGGTGCCAAGGGCGGCGACGCTGCGCCATCTGCGACTTTGCCTTGAAGCGAGCGTTCGAGTCGCGCATTCCTGGCGCTCTAAAATAAATTGACTCCAAACGACGCGGAATTGACCCCAAGAAGTTGGGTTCACTGGCGAAGCTGAAACGGCCCTTCATCAGCGGCCGGTATTAGGCAATGCCTTCGAGCCACGTAGCAGCGGATATCCTTGTTGGGAGTGGGACGTGTGAAGGCTTAATTTGCTGTGCCCGAACGCTCCATTTCAAGTGACGTTGAGGGATCGAAACACATAAGGCTATGACAAAAACTCCGAGTTCCTGAACGACGCTGGTCTATTATAAACAGTTTGTCGCCCCATGTGGGTAAACATTGCACAGCATGCAGTGTTTACTCGCCGTCAGTAAATCAAGTCGGGTATTCTAAACCACGTAAAGCAAATTGAAATTTCCAAACCCCTCTTTCACGAGTTGCGGGGGGGCATAACTTGAAGTGAAAGATGGGGGTTTAAAATTCCCAGTTATAAATCTGGCCTTGCCCGGCACTGACAGCTAAGTCAGCCGTTTCCAACTGAAAAAATGCGTGGGACGATGCACATCTTGCAGCACTCCCCCTGTGATGAGAATTCCACATTCCTTGTGGCAGGTGTGATGATTTTAGGAACGTCGGGGGTCAAAAAGTTATTCAGTGGAAAGAGACGAATATGAGCAGGATGCGGTAGTTTTTTTTTAGTTTTTACAAATGTGACTGTGATCATGAATAGCAACACAACCGTGATCCTAAAGAAAAGTTTTCAATCAGTGCGCATCATCCGCGAAGACGCGCATCACAAACATGGGCACCAACAAATATTTGTTTTACTTATTTAGTCAAAGTGTTTCTGCACTAACGATCATCAGGTGGCATTCATCTCCATTCACGGTGGTGGAAATTCCACATTCCTATGACATGACAGTGACCCCGTCGGACAACCGCTGTTGATATCCCAAAAAAGCGGTACTCGCTTGCGGGGGGGGGGGGGCCCTTAGTTTTAATAGTTTAACAAAAATAGTTGAATGCGGTAGCGCGTCAAGCAGGCAGGGAGATGGACGGAGACAGACGGATAGACGGCCCTCACCTGCCACAGTCCATCTCGTCGGGCCAGGGGATGCCGAAGACCTCGCGCAGCTCGGTGCAGGAGTCCCGCACGCGGCCGCAGAGCGCGCGGCACGGCGGCACCACGCGGCCCGGTGGCGCGCACGCCGGCGCGAACATCGCGCACAGGAAAGTGCGCGCCTCCGGGGAGCACTCCAGCTTGAGCAGCGGGTGGAACGGCTGCACGCGGCGGGAGAGAAGGGGGGGGGGGGTGTCACGGGGTCACAAGGTCAAAGGGTAATCAGGACACGGGTAGGGTGGGCAATGACAAATTAAAAAAAAAACTAAACTATTTTCTATTTTATCAGATAAGGCCCACTGAGCTGTACAGCGCTTTTTCAGAAGCGACCTGGCCACAAATAAAAGCTCAACGGAGTTGCTTATATCACGTGGACATTTACAGCAGCCAAATACTCCAAACGCATTTTTATTCTTAAAAAAAAAGAGCAGACTGCAGCGTATCATCCACACTGCTGAGAAGGTAATTGCCTGCAATCTACCAACCCTCGAGGACCTGCACACGACAAGGACCATGAGGCGAGCGAGGAAGATTGTGGCCGATTCCTCCCACCCTGGACACTCTCTGTTCCAGCTACTCCCCTCTGGCAGAAGGCTTCGGTCCATCAGGACCAAAACCTCACGCATTAAAAACAGTTTCTTCCCATCTGCTGCTGGCCTGTTAAACAAGGGCAAGGGCTTACACTGATTTTAACATTTTATCTACATAATAACACCTTGCCGATATTAACTATGTTAACCTATTTGTATTTTTTATTTTTAAATTATATCTTAAAGCTATTTTATATTCGATATTTATTCAATTTTATATACTTCAGCCCCTTGGTGTTAGTTAGACTTTTAACCCTTATTATTATAGTAAGACTTGTTTAAAACTTATTTAAGATTTTAGATTCCTATATGTTGAATGTATGCACCATCCTGCCAAAGTAAATTCCATGTCGGTGTGAACTTTCATGGCGAATAAAACCCTTTCTGATTCTGAAAAAACAAGAGGACCCGGAGAAAAAATCCACACGACCACAGAGAGAACACGCAAACTCCTAAATATACAGCAGGCGTCAGGGTCGGGATCGAACCCACGACCTCCTGCACATCAGGCTAGGGAGTTAACATATCATACCACCGTGGTGCTCCAACTTTTTTTATCATAGGATTTTGGTAGGGGCACCCGTGGAGACCGATATGTGCCGACAGCGGCGACAATCGGCGTTCGATTTGTGGCCACGGCTAACGTCGTTCCTGATGCAGTCGCGGGTCACCCCTTCACCGACCCGCGATGGTCGGTGTGGCGGAGTGGAGCCACATACAAACCCCGGATAACTCATACGTCACGCGGAGACCTTAATCAAGCAGCGGATTGACAAAAAAGGGGCTGTACAGTTGCGTGAATGTTTTCGTGAAGTCACAACCAGGAAGCGGCAGCGTCTGTTAGTTGTGGGCGCTTAGAGCTTCGCTCTTCCTGCACAGTGAAGTAAAGCGAGGTACAAAGTGAAGATGATTGGGGAATGGTATCGGCAGGTCCTATTATCTGCATTTATCCTAAGACTAGAAGCAAAGATAAATGTGGATGGGTGATGCACACGTGGGAGATTGCTTCAGGGATAATTACAGTCGCGTCAAAACCACGGATTACCGTGGATGAAAGGATGAATTTACAGCGACTTAAGGGTTACTCTTATCCGGATAATGGGAAGCATGTACCTGTGGATTATTAGAGGCGTTGGGATAAATTTTGGGGCACGGATAAAACGAACAGCGGGTACCAGTCGGGTATATAACTGGCATTTTTGTGTACATAATTGCTCCACGGTGTACACCTACCTACACATTACACGACTGGACCGTTTATGATGCCAGCCCCTGCCGCAAGAGGTTGGCAAAAAAAAAAAAATTCCAACAAACCGAGAGCGGGCGATGCGCGCGCAATTTATTTAAAGCTGCCCCACAACGGGAGGCCGGCTCAAGAGGGCCCACGCTGGGCAGACGACGTCGTCGCTGCCGTGTCGCAGACCGAGTGGGGACAACGGTGGCGGCACAGTGCGGTGGTGGTGGGGGGGGGTTGCGGTGCAGCAGGGCTGGGTGACTCCCGGGTCAGGATCTCGACAGGGACTTTGCACAAACACGCCCCTCGGGATGCAACGCGCGCGGCAGAAAACCGGGGGAGGAGAGACGCGTCCCATTCAATGGCGCACTGTGCCTTTACAATAACACCGGCGGCTTGATTTCAACGCCCCGTGCTTGTCGCACATGTCACACGTTGTGGCATTAAGCGACATCAAAGGGGGATTATGGAGAGGGGAGGCTGAGAGCGAACGTGGCTAAAACGCCAGGTGCCGGCGGCAAGAGGTCGACAAAATGGTAGTCAACGGCGCGTTAAGCCGGGCATTTAGGACATTTTGTTTGGTTCGCTTTACAATTATGACGGAGGGAAGGGAGGAGAAAAAACAAAACATGCCGTCACGTAATCTTCATTGAATCCTTAAAGTATGTCGGCAAAAAAAGAACAAAAACCGTCGATGCTATCGCATGTCAGCTAACTGCAGCAATTCAGCCCGGGGCAGCTTCAGGAGTTTTTCGCTGCTCTGCCGTGGTTACAGGCCGTGCGTTTTGTTTTACGTGGTTAGGTCAAGGTTGCCGAGTCTGCCCGCCACAATTATACGCGGCGGCGGCGGCGGCAGTAGCAGCGGGCGGCTGGGTTTGTGAGGCTCTTTGAAAGGCTTGCAAGAAAGTCTATTGCGAAGCTGCGAATGACCGAGCAGATATTATTGCGGCATCAGCGAAGTGACATTCGCAGCTGTGTTTGCGTACCACGTTAGGGGGAAAAGTGGCACATAAACACAGCTGCCCGGAGAGAGAGAGTGAGACTCGTTAATGTGAAAGTGGGACAGACCTTCAAAAGCACCATCAAAGCTGTGGCCGACCGAACCAATCTTGGCTTAGTCAAATGTACCTGTTTGATATGAGTCTAGAAGGACCGATAGCCCTAAGAATAAACCATACCACACAACACAATTTGGATTTACACGGTGTCTAAACACTGGCCGCACCTCAAGAAGCTGTAGAGAAACACGTGAGGAATATTTATTTTACGGAGCGTTAATCGGCGGAGAAGAAAGATTTTGTCGCGCCTGGACTTGCAACAGGAGGGGCAAGGCCGTCCGACGGCACAGACGGCTGAGAAAACATTGCTCTTGCGTGTCACGTAATGCCATTGCAAAGCACAATTAGACGCGTCTATTATTATTACTACACGCTTTTTATTAACTCACTCTGTCTGTTGTTGTTATTGTTGCATTCTCAAATGTTGTAACTCAATTTTAACCCACTTCCCAATGTGGTGTCGACTGCAAACTTGGCATAATTATGTCATACTGATGACAATACTATAGTCTATCATAAAAATAATATTTTTAAACATTATTTTGTATATGTTATGTTTCGGCTTGGGTCTAATTGTCCACGCTCAACTCACGTTGGCTGTAATTGCCCACGGTCCCTTACGTTGTGGCAAGCTTCGGGGCCACCTCCTGGAAGAGTCATGGGGCTTTGCAATTACTAGTAGGGTACATTTAATTAAAACGTGTTTTTAAAAAAGTTTTTTAAAATATTTTTTTAAAAAGAAGAAAAGAAAGCTCATCTTACCGAGGTCTTCATTTCAATGAGCCAATTCTCTAGAGCTGCTACTTGCGTTAAGTTTGTTGTCCTTGCCCCCCCACACCTCCAGATTATCACGGTTGGCTACGTACGGTGCAAAAGAAGTTCAACATACATAAGAAAAATCTGGGAACTGAATGGTTTAAAAAAATACCGCACAAGGGTTCTTGGGAACCGAGCAAAAGAGCACAGTTTAGGTAACGCCCAGTGAGTTGTTTACCTTGCGCCCACACGGCGCTTCTGGGGGTGAGATTTTCCGTGCAACTTTTCAAGGTCACCGACACTCCGCGTGATAGGCCTGAGATTTACACAATCGTTTCTGGCCTCATACTCTTTGCACAGGGTGCGAAATTATATCAGTGGGACCCCCGTTCTTGTTGCCGGTGTCAAAATGATGAAAAATAAAAAAAGAGGCTCTACCCTTGCCGGCGATAATACACAGGACACGTTAAGATGTTCCAACACCAAATAGATACGTATTGCAAGACATCAAGTCCGCATTAACCACACATTGCTGCTTGTGGTAAAACATGCAAACAAAAACATGCTTTTATTATAATACTATGGGCATTTGTCTTTGAAACTGATTGGCCCACATCAGAGACAGCCTCCTTGATGGCCCTGTCGCACCGTTCTTCTGGTCTAACCCTGCCGATGCAGACGTGATGCCTTGCAATCAAGGTGTCCCATTTCGTGTTTGAACATCGTAACATCGGAATGATTTGCCGGAAAGGGTAAAGCCTATTCATTGTTGTTGTTTGCAAAATTAATACTCTTGCGTACACGTGCCACTACCCACCATGGCACCGTCTATGACCGCGTGCGTCCACAAGCTGCCAGCAGCCCCTCCCAGCAACAAGGATGAAGATTTTGTTTTTTAACTCAACTCAGATCCGGATCTGGGGACACCGTGTGACAGTTCCGACAAAGCCATAGGTCCTCCTGGATTTGTATTGATTTTACAAACCATTCCCAACTAACAGTTACAAAACAATTACCCAAAAATACTATGCACGATTAAAATGGGAGATTTTCAGTCAGCCTTTTTGTTGACCTGTGTAAAGGGTTCTCGGTGCGTACATAACTCATCATAAATACCATCGGTGATTTGTCACTGCTGGTTAAACTGAGCCCTTACCTGACTTCGCAACGATGAAAATGACTCAGTTCTAGTGCTGTGACCCACAGGACTGACTCAGAAAAAAAACTAACAACTTCAGATCCACCCCCCCATTACGCACATCGTGCCTTGATGGTTGAATTTGTATTTGCAAAGTGGATGCGACGAGGAGGAGACGGGGATAGGGGGGTAAGGGCTGGCTCACCCCAATATGGCTGCGGGGGGTGACACGAAGTTACAATACAGGACACTAAGGGGGTGCGTGGGGGAGTGCGGTTCCGAGCTGCAGAAACACTGCCCTCTTCCACCCCATCTCCCACCTCCCATCCCCCATCAACACAAACTCTGGCCAAGTCAGATGTCTCCACCCCAGGGCTGAATAGCC